GATGCAAATAATAAAGAGACCGTCAGCAGCAACTGTCCAAATGAAAATAAAAGGCAATAAACGGTGCTGGGGACTGCGCTCATCCAGATTAAAAATAAGTCTGGAAAATACGAGCAGCTAAGGGCTCTTATAGGTGGAGGCTCCCAAAAAACCTTAATATCTGAAGAAGCCGCACAATTAAAACTGCGCCGAACCGAACTGAAAGTGGAAAAAATAGTGTTTGCAAATCAATCAATCAAACAAAACAATCAAACCCAGGAAAAAAATCCGTCACTAGAACGCAGCTCTTGTTATGCAAAAACTTCAGAGAGCTCTTCCGACCAAAAAAATTGAAATGGATGGCAATAAGGATTGGAATATTTGCGAGCTAGCAGACCAACATTTTAACGAGCCCCTTAAAAATGATGTTGTTATTGGCGTTGATTTACTTCCCCTAATCATGTTAGGAAAAGTAAAGAAAATCAAGAAAACCCTAGGACAAAAGAACGAACTTGGATGGATTGCCTCTGGCAATATAGCTGGATTATCAACCAACAAGGTAATCAGCGCATCAACAACGATGAGCCTGGACGTCCCAGAGATCTCTGCAAAGCATCGAAAAATTGGGATGCTATACAGACGGAGACACAGGCAACGAATTAAGAAGAGAAACCAGAGGCAGCAACTGCTAGCTGTCACATTTGGCCTCCGCAGAATTCCAGAACTCTACGCATGCCGTCTACGTCCTCAACCACTTGCAGGGAGTGTAATAAGAATAGATCAAATTACATGCTTAGAGTCTAAAATTAGACATACCAACACTCTGAGCATAGATAAGTTACATTTAAGGGATCAAATACGGGTATAAGAACAGTAACTCAAACGAATAAAGATCGTTACACAACTGAACGCCACCACAGTCAAGTGTATTCATACTAACTTTAATCAATTACGAAGGTTGAATTAAAAACATTTGCGTAAATAGTATAATTAGATAATTGATTATTGATTATTTAATTTATATGCCGTGACTTCACTGTAAAAAAGTTTATTCAATCAATAAAAAAATATGCTTCAGTAAGCTTATTAGTTGAGCAATTTATATTAATCATTTGGGTATTCGGAAAAAATTAAGAAAGACAAGAAAGTTGCGCTCGGCCTGCATAATACGCATTTACGGTCTAATCAATGTCAGCTCTAAATGGAAAATATGGGGCTTGATACATATATCAGTTTTGGTAATTTTGTCGTTCAGAGTTCGTATCTAGCTGTAAAACGGTAAGTTATACAATATTCACGAATAGACACGGCCTCAGTGGGTTCAAAAATTTGGGGCTTAGTCTGACAAAGTTTGGAAATCACTGGATATTTTCAAATAGCCCCGCTCCCAAAGGGCCGTCCCATTTTTTTTTGTATCGATAATAATGATTAAATAATAATAATAATTAAATAATTTAATGTTTAAGTTTCTTACTCTATAACACTGCATCTTTAGAACATATAAATTTTTGTGAGTTCTAACGCTCCTGTTGTCATAGATGTACAATCTAAATATTTGTTGATGCGGGCGATTCTTACGAGTAGATTCCCAAATTTCTTTAAGTACCAAGATAGGAGTGAACAGAAGACCGACTCTGTAAGTTTTGCTTAACTGTCCCTCTGAGGCTCATCTGTTCATTCTTGTGAACACTGTGCACTCATCTTGAGCTCTGAGCTTGCCTATATTGGCGTCTGGGGACCCACTGCCTCTCCTCCGGCTGTTCCCTTGTTTGCTGGTTTAATGGATCGCTCCCCGCTTGCAGTATCAGAAAAGGGACAAAGATTTGCTAACTCCTCAGTCTGAGCTTTGCCTCAATTTGCGAGTCCACCTGACTGCAGCTGCTGTCTGCCAGAAGTATTACACATTTCTTTTTGGGGCCAACAACTGTGTGCTTTCAATCTGACGCGAGCCTACTAACGCCTGGGGTCTCCTCGTTGTTGCTCTCACTCGCCCCTGAAAACTGCTGGTCACCTCCCAATTTAACACTCTATAGCCATGTGGCACGTTGGGCCATACATCCGACATGCGCTGGCTAAATTCTGGAAATATTTTCGTTGAATCGGCGTGCATGTCTTTGGGGCAGATCTAGGTCTTCATTTGCCATGCTCCGATGGTAATCAAGGGTCCTCAGCGTTGCATTTTATTTGAGCACTGATGCTGCCGTAACTTACTCCATTTCCACCATATATATCTTGAATACCTCACCCACCTTGGTCTTCGACGAGTGACTATGTCCTTCAAGCTCTTAAAGTGGCAGAAAATACTCTTTGAAGCTGCTAATAATTGTTGTTCACGTTGTCCAGTGTCTGTTACTTGTCACATATCACTTCTTGGCCATATCTTCCTACAGCTCCAGTATCACCATCAGCATCAGGTCCAGATCCAGACCGAAGATGACTGCTAGGCCACCTGATCTAGTAACGAAAATAGCTTTGTCCTGCCATCGAAGCGCATAACTCCATCTGTGCTCCTGTTTGTCGATTTTTTTGGTATTCTGGAGCAGAGCTGCTTGCTCCTCGACCTCTTATTTCTTGTTGTGGGGCAAATGTGGTCAACATAATCCTCGCTGCGCTTCCTGAGGGCGAGCGACAACACTAACCGCGCCACTTTAACGATACGCCTATCGCCTTCCATGTCGTCTTCCACAGCTGCGGCTATTACTTTACTTCACTTTGCGTCAAATAGCGACCATGAGAATTTGCAATCCCCCTATCCTAATGTTGTGTGCTATCCTATTCTCCATTCGCCAAATGTCTTTCAAATATACATCTAAGTTCGTACTTAAGACTTGAAGACTTATTTTTTTTTCTTCGCGAAATTTCTTTCAAATATTCTTATTTTTTTCTTGACTAGCAAAGGATTACTCCTGCACAGGATTCATAAGCTCTAAGCGCTCTTTTCAGCTACTCCACTGTTGTTTGTGGATCCTTTTCACTGTGTCTATGTCCTTGATAGGCATCTTAGGTATTTTGCCTGATGTCCTTAGTATCGATGTCCCTTATTTGATCACATTGCTCGCACTGAATTTCGGATTTCTTTTAATTCTTTAACTTTTTATTATATTTTTGCTGTCCTTTATGCTGAGCTGCGGCCGCCTTTTATAACCCAGACGCAGGACCTACATCGCTCTGGAGAGCAGCATGCCTGTTGTTCGTGCCAAAATGACGACAACAAACGGCAACATCGCGTACTCTGCTGTGACGGCAGCATCTCTTGATTATGTTGCAGCCTCCCAGTTACTGAAGCACCTTATGCTAAGACAGCGACAGTTGTGTGGCAACGAACAGTACTTCGACTAATGTTCCTCGATGGCCGTAGTGTTCGCGACATGTGTCTATTGCTGTATTTGTAGAAGTGAAAGCTTTAAACTCCAGTTCGCAGTTGAAACTGACCACCGTTTTGAATGTATGTTGGAACCCACAAATGTATACAAAAAAAATTCTTATTGTTACGCTGCGGCCGATTTTTGGGGTTTCCTGATTGAATTACCAGCTCTCCTATTGGAGCTTTATTGTGAAATTGCGAGTTCAAACATTTTCATAAACTTATAATAGATAAAAGTAATGAAGTATATTTATCAAGTAAGAAAACTCTAGTCGGGGTGCCCGACTAAGAGATACCCTGATCCGAGTCCTATCAGCGTTTTTTAATATTTTCCGTAGCTTGTATCGAGTATTAAAAAAAAACAAAAAAAATCTGATATTACCACACCAAGATTCGAACCCACAATTTTTACGCAACTCTACCAACACCGCCAATTCATACTAAAAATAAAAATTAAAACAAGAAAAAAATTCTTTAACCCAGAGACTAATCGCTAATGAGCGCTGCCTCTACCAACGCAGCCACTGAACTGCTTACTTAAGCAGTTGCAAATTTGAAGTTAAGAATTCAGCACAAGTCAATCCCAATTTCGATTCTTCGAGTAGAAAAGAATACACGCATTTGAATGCATAGGAAAAATGCGTGCGCGTTGCGCTGCTGACATGTGCTTTTGCAAAATGGTCAAACGTTTTGTTTAATAACTTCTGTTCGACTAAAGGGATTTTAGTGAAACTTTCAGTATATGATATACATCTTCTCTTGACTTGGTAGATGTGCAAACGCCTTCACATAATGGGCCCATTTCCTACTGAACTAAAATTTTACGAATTTGGGGAAATTTGGAGCCGGTATCCAAAATCCAACAAAAATCAAAAATTCATAAAATAATAAGTAATAAAATACATAAAACTAAATACAATTTGGAAGCTCTAGCTCTTAAGACGTCCGAGATATAATTTTTTAACTGCATTTCAATGATGTTTTTATTCGATAACAATTAAATGCGAATAGTTATCGAATATTTGACTCGATATGCGCGTGCTATACACGGACCTACAAATAAAATTTCAAATTTCTCTAGCTTTCATAGAAGCTGAGATCGACGCGTTCACACATACGGATAGAAAGACAGACGGGCAGGGCTCAATCGACTCGGCTTGTCGTCCTGATCAAGAATATATACTTTATGGGGTCTACTACGCCTCCTTTTGCCTGTTACATACATTCGCACAAAACCATTATACCCTGATTTCCCGTTTTCAATGTGATCAGAGTATAAAAACAGCAGATCGGACAGGGTTCAAGTTATCCCCTAGTCAGTAACGTCTGAGTAGAACTTTATATCTGTTAAGGTTGTGTTTTGAATTATGCCGAAATGTATACATTATGTGCAGTTCGTATGCTGGTTTTATTTAGTGTAGCAAGTTATGCATATAACTGTATAATGAACATATATTTATATAGATATAAGAATAATATTAAATAAATAGTTTATAATTTTTTTTAAATTTTTTTTCGCCAAGTTTTCTTTTAGCTAATTATTATTCCGAAATTTATATTCGATATTTTATAGACATATGTACAAATTTGATAACTTATTAGAATATCTATCTTTTTTACCATCATTGTAATTAGTTTCTAATATCTAAAAACTCACATACACATTCGTGGTGGGATGATTGATATATTATTCATTACGACTACGAGCCGTCTGTATGTACGAAGTGGCGGCGATGATACAGGTGAGGCGTAAGGCCGAGGAGTCATAGGTTCGATGCCTGGCGGGGACGAGTACTGTTAAAATGTAGTAGATATTTAGAATTATGTCGGTACGCCTAATGAGAGCGTGGCAAATCGAAAAAATGTATATCTTCTACTGTTTTAGAAATTTAAAAATTCGATAATCGACTTACTGTTGACCTGTTTATTGTATTGAATTGACAAATATTTATTATGCCCTTTTGAGGCGAAATTTGTTAGTTAGCTTGGACACTTCTTCTAAGGACGTACCAAAAATTATAAATCACTGCCTACTAAGAAGAGTTGCAAATTGCAATTGTATTAATTTTCTAATTCAACTTCGAGTAATTAAAATATCCATTTGCGTTACACGACTATACATTTATATATAAACATACATGTATGTACTAGCTTTATTTCAATTTACTATAAATATTTTTGTGTATGTATGGCATTACTAACCTATAATCAGAATGAATTTTTACCTAATTTCAGTGAGGAATACGTAAATATATTATTTTGTGTGTTATCTTATGATAAATATGAAACAGCAAAAGAGAGATAAAATTGCGTTATTGTTTTCTGTTCTAAATTCGTATACGTCCTTGTGGCGTAATTACCCTGGTACAATCACGTTACCTTTTTCTTAAATATCGGTTATATACTTGGTTGCTATAATTTTAGGGAATAATAAAAGTCAAGTTTCCCACAATCGATATATTAATTAAAGTCCCATTTGTATTTGCTATTAGTTCAGTTAAACTACAAAGCCATAAATCACATATATGTATGTTTATTTATCTGTTTCTGCTTTTATGATAATTTGAAATGCCTTTAGCAAACGTAAACATACTCATACATAAAATTCTCAACAAGCTCACCGGAATTAGTAGTACACAAGTTTTTCCATTACATTTGTGTATTACCCATCGGTTTTTATAAACTTTTTTGTTCACAACATGAACTAAACTATTCTTAAGCGGGTAGTAATTCACATATTCACGAAAAAAAATATGTTATATAACAATGAAATGAATTTTTTCTCAAATATTTACCAATTTTATATACCAATTTTCGTTTGCATTTATAGTTATTTAAAGAAAATTTTTTTTCTGTCTCAGTGTTTGACTTAACGCTGATAGTCCGAGTAAATGATGCACTCACGACAAGGACGTCCGCAGAACATGAGACACAGACTTTGTATTCTCAGCGAGGAAATATGGAATATGGATTTTGCTGCGCAGTGGCTCGACTGTCTGCGCAGAACTCTTTCAGAGAAATAAAGTGAAAGAGAGAAAAAAGTACGGTATGTATTGCCTAAGAGAAAATTATGCAGCTCTCAAATCCTATTTTAGTTACATAGATATTTAAAAACATACCCTCTGACTAAAGGAACTTCGCTGTTGATATTTTTGCGGTCATATCACGTCGTTGCACAGCAGAACAACAAAAATATTCTCATGAATGCTGAAAAATATTTGCATTTCCCTTTTAAAGTAAAATATACAAATAGTTGATATTTTGGTGTCGGTAGTTTCTGATTTTGTGCTTATTGACAACAAATTAATTTCAGTAATTTAATCTAAATTCTAGATGTCTTCAGTTAACTTCCATGTTTTACTGACTATTTAATCTTTATGAGAAAATAAATTTCAAGGATTATCTTACACTAACCACCGATTTATTGATACCTTTTAACCTATGTGGTTTTTCCGAAAATTAATCATTACAAAAAATACTAAATATTCATAATTGATTAGTTATAATTTTTTTAAATTTTTTAAAAACCTTTTAATTTAACAATATAGTATACCACATACGCCTTCTCATAAAAGAATATAAATTTTGGTCTTGACTAATGGTTGTTTGGCTGAATATAAATATAAATATATACTTTTGTGAACTTTCACATAATAAATATATGAACTTCATGTATATATTCTGAAGCTAGATGCGTATTTCAATTTACGTATTGACTATATCTATAATTGAACTTGAATTTGATCAAAATAAATTTCAAATTTGGTTTCTTTAACTCTAAAAACATGAGAGATATGTTAAAGCATTAACCAGGAATTCCCGACCATCACCAAGATCTAAAACGATCGAGTGTAGGGCCACAAGTAAAACACTTAGTATTTTCTATTTTCAATGGATTCTGAATATAGATAATAATGGAATAACTGTTTTGTATATATGTACATAAGAAGAAGGAGATACCCTGATCCCAGTCCTATCTGCGTTTTTTTATATTTTCCGTAGTTTTTATCGAGTATTTAAAAAAAATAAAATAATAAATAAAAATCGACATTACGACATATATATTCGAATATAGATTTTTACGTAACGCGCACCAACTTTACCAACACCGCCACTTCATAATTAAAAATTAAAACAATAAAAAATTTTCCATCGCCACGAGGCTGGAAGGCAAGGATTAACCGCTTACGAGTCTTCTCCACCAACGCAGCCCCTGCACCGCTTTCGAGAAGAGTTGCAAATTCGGAATTAAGTAGCAGCTGATAATGCAAGCAGAGAGTACACAAGAAAAGAGTACAGTCATTGGAATACTTGCGTGCGCGTGTCGCTGTTGACATGTGCTTATGCAAATTGGTCAAACGTTTTGTTTAACAACTTCTGTTCTACTTAACGGATTTTAATGAAATTCTCAGCATATGATATACATATTCTCTTGACTTGGTAGATGTGCAAACGCATTCACATAATGGCCCTATTTCCCACTGAACTTAAATTTTACGAATTTGGGGAAATTTGGAGCCGGTATCCAAAATCCAACAAAAATCAAAATTGCATAAAATATTCATAAAACTAAATACAAACAAGTATGACAGCTCTAGTCGGGGTGCCCGACTAGGAGATACCCGGATCCCAGTCCTCTGAGTTTTTTAATATTTTCCGTAGTTTGTATCGAGAATTCAAAAAAAAAAAGAAAACAAATAAAAAACGAAATTGCGAGACCAGGTTTCGAACCCGGACTGTTTGCGCAACGTGCACCAACTCTACCAACACCGCCACTTCATAATTAAAAAAAAAAAAATAAAACAATAAAAATTGTCTCGTCGCCGCGAGGATTGAACCCGAGACTAAACACTAACGAACGCCGCCTCTACCAACGCAGCCACTGCACCTCTTGCAAGAAAAGTTGCAAATTTGAAGTTGAGTACAAGCTGATAATTCAAGCAGTATTTAATCGCAATTTCGATTCTTGGAATACGTTGGCCAAACGTTGTGTTTAATAACTTCTGTTTTACTTAATGGATTTTAATGAAATTTTCACCATATGATCTACATATTCTATTGGATTGGTTGAGATGCAAATGCCTTCTCATAATGGCTCAAGTTCCAACTAAAAAAGCCGGTATCCAAAATCCAACAAAAATCAAAATTGCGTAAAATATACATACAACTAAATACAACATTTAGCTCTTAAGACGTTCGAGAAATAATTTTTTCACTGCATTTCAATAATGTTTTTATTCGATAACAATTAAGTGCGAATAGTTATCGAAGAACGGACGGATAGCAGACGGACAGGGCTCAGTCAACTCGGCTTGTCGTCCTGATCAAGAATATATATACTTTATGGGGTCTGCCACGACTCCTTCTGCCTGTTACATACATTTGTACAAAACCATTATATCCTGATTTCCCATTTTTTATGGGATCAGGGTATTAAAATGCTCTAGCTCTTAAAACGTACGAGATATAATTATTAACTGCATTTCGACTGTGTTTTTATTCGATAACAATTAAATGCGAATAATTGTCGAATATTTGAAACAAACTCGATATGCGCGTACTATACACAGACCTACAAAAAAGTCAAGTCTCTAGCTCTTATAGATGCTGAGATCGACGCGTTCAAACATACGGGCAGACAGCCGGACATTAAATCGACTCGGCTTGTCATCCTGATCAAGAATATAAATCCTTTTTGGGTGTGCCACGCCTCCTTCTGCCTTTTACATACATTTGCTCAAAATCATTACACCCTGATTTAACATTTTCAATTGGATCAGGATTTAAAAATATGCTGGTTTGGGCATAAGTTCTTGATCAGGATAATATAATAAAATGAAGTTCGCCAATTTTTGGGTATAAATATATATATATATATATATATATATATATATATATATATATATATATATATATATATATATATATATATATATATATATATAGATTATGATTAGTTTGTTTTAAATAATCGATAACTCAACGTTTTATTCTTATCGATTAAAAACATGATCACAGTGCCGTTATTTAAGTCTATCCCAGACGGCTAAAGCTAGAGTCACCAAATGTAGTTTTTTTAATATTTTATACAATTTTGGTTTTTATTATATTATATACCGGCTGCAACTCTGTTATTTTTTAAATTTGAACTTCTGTGGGAAATAGAGCCAATATATGAAAGAGTGTACCTTTTTACTAACGATCTTATTCGACAGCTATTCCCGGTTTAGTATTTTTTACAATTTTAGTTTTTGTTATAATTTTTATAACCACTTCAAATTCTTTAAATTTAAATTCACTTGGAAATAGGAGTTCACATTTTTATAATTGATAATTACTCCAATAGAATATGTAGATAATTTTTCCTATACATGTGCACATATACATTCACATGCGTGCCATTTTTTTATGGGTAGCATCGAAATTTGCGATTTAATTGTATTTGAACTGTCAGCTGGTAGTTTACTTTAGATCTGCAAACTTGGCGTGTAAGTGCTTTGTCCCTTTTGGGTAGACATAGTGCTTATTGCCGAGAAATGTTATGAATGGCTTTATCTTTGTTTTTTGATGATATTTTAAGTTTTTGTCTCCTAATATCGAATTTTATTTCTATATTTTTAAAGCTCAATAGCTATACAAACTATGGAAAAAGTTAAAAAAAATGCAAATAGGACTGAGCTTAGTGTATCTGCTACTCGGGCAGCGCCGACTAGACATTTCCTATTTGTTTTAGTATCTCTTTTAATCAAGATTTTATAGATGCTGATTGAAGTAAGTTGTGAACCACTTTATGTATGTATATTCATTCATTCAAAATTTCACTGACACGCGCATCGGTTTGGCGCATTATAAACAACGGTAGCACTTGTTGTATAAATTGTATATGTTTTGTGAAACTCATATATAAATATATTTATTAAAATTTCAATCCTATACTGTACATCTTTTATATAATACATTTCTTTATTATCGATATTCTGAACTGGGACAAAGCTAAAAAAAAAAAAAATATATATATATATACATATATATATATATATATATATATATATATATATATATATATATATATATATATATGTTGTCCAGTATACAGGAATTCCAATTCAGTACTGTTTTACCACCCTTGAACTTTTGTTTTCAAAACAAAAACGATCGATTCTTTCAATAAATCTGCGGTTCGTGAAACTTTGTGTACATTACACATTTTGTGACAAATTAATACTTTTCTTTAAGAATTTCAAATAAAGCTCTTAATTAGAAATATGCGTATAAAAGTCTCTTAGCATACATTGAAGAGAAACACGTTATAAATCTGTATTTATATTCACAGATATATGTATGTATGCATGTTAAGCATGCGCAAAAGTACTGGGATTGTATTAAATTACTCCTGTCTCATCAAATATCAGCAGTTGAACAGTAAAATTTTTTAATTAATTACACTAAAGGCCAATTCGATAAATCAACAATATGTTTGAAACCATGCAGTATATACGAGTTCAAATTGTGACTACCTAAATATCGCATGAGTGTACCTCATTGTGGCATACTATAAACTTATTCGGCCCTAGTGCGGCAGAAGTTCACAAATACACTTTTCTTAGCCTCGCATTGAGCAAGAAAACAAACATCAGACATCATGGCTTTGGAGCACACATTTCTTGGAACATGGGAGGTAACATATTTCAAAATTATATTCACAAAACTTTCGGACTTTAAATTTTATTTACGACACAGATAATTTCATGTAAATTTGAAGGCATGCGCGAGTTATCTGGACTAGAGGGGTAAGTCTCTTAATGAACGTGGAAATATAATCTAAGACAATGGCCTCGTTCTGTGCAGCATAAAATTTCGCCTAGATGATACTAGTGACATTACCTGGTATAATGATCTAGTCAGTCCACTTCCTGAAATAACTGACAGCAGCACTTGCTATGATTCAGCAAGAATTTTATTTAGTTGTGAAACGTTTGATGTACACGAGGCTAATCCTCGTCTCGTCTTTGGCGCTTTTGATGGCCACAGTATTGAGTTCAATGTGAGTAGTTTCCATTTCAATCGATTATGTCAATAATACTGTTTTTATTTGTGTAAAACATATGTAGACTAGTACGATAATGCCAACTGACTCCCTAATACTTAGTTGCGAAAACTGGTATTCACTTGAATGCAAGAGGCTCCAGAACGATCGAGCAAATGGTCAGGAAAATCAATTTAGTTTTGGTGAAGCACTACTGGACCCTTATTTTAGCGATGTTTTAGTGAAAAGTGGTACTGGATTAGAATATGCTCTTCATTCCTCAATATTGCGTCTCAACGGATTTGATTGTAGTATGTGTACAAACAATACCCTGTTCTCAACATCTCAAAACTTACAGCCTTTGCGTCTTATATCAAATACGTCAAATACTAATCCTATAAAAATATCGATTGCGATTGTTGATGCTGGCAAAAAGCAAACAAAAAAATTTCATGACATAAGTTTATCCTCCGTATATATGCAGCCAATCTGCGATTATCAGCTTTTGACTCCAAACACAGGATTAGAGGCGCAGCGTGTGCATCATTTTAGTAGCAGTTTTAGCTGCTTAAGCAATGGTAATGAAAAGGATTCGCCTGGAACATTTTGCGATATTGATGTTGGACTCTTACGTATGAAAGGTGGTGGCTTGCGTCGATTTCCATCAACTTCCCATTCCGATTCACATCTGGAGTCGTCTCAAATAGAATGCAAAAATATTTTTAATTTCTGTCAGGAATCGATGTTACTACCCATGTCATCGTCTAATCCTCAAAACGACAGCAGCACTGCGAATCTGGCTATATGTAATACACGCCGACCACCACTGTCTCCTTACCGAGCCCGCAGCCCTTTTCCGTTTATCAATTCAATGGATACACCGCCGTCGTCACCACTGACACCAGTTGGAGTACTTTTCAATTTATCCACATTTCTTTTAAATCCGATCCTGCATTGGCTTTATACAGAATCCTTGCTTCCTGAAATGGATGAGGACGTTTGTGAGAAGCTAATAAACTTTTGCGAAGCGCAACCTTCCCTAACAAAGCTGGTGCCACCAGCTCGCACATACTTGCGTTTACTACAACTTAAAAAATGTGAGTACAACTTTCCAAACGTAATACATTTCCCAAAATATTCTTTTTTCTATATTGAAAGTTGTCGTAAATATAACAATGGATCTGCACAACATCCTCAACCGTCTAATACAGTACCTAGATCCTGCTACAATATCTCACACGCCAGCTTTACTATACGCGACGTTTCAAAATGGATTCCGAGAATGTGCAATAGGTAAAACTCATTTTTTATGATAATACACTTTAGGGCAAATAATATATAAAAATTAACTCTCGTCGGGTGAGCCATATCTACGAGATTCCCTAACTCCGAAATTTATGCGTTTTGAAAAATATTCCATAGCTTATATCTACTCATAGACACTCAAAGCAAAACTCATACAGTTTTAATTGTACATGCACTCTTACATTATGTACGTATTTAAGCATAAAAAAGTGACGGTTTAAAAAAAAATAGCCGACCAAAATAAAACATGCTCAGCTCACGATTCGAATTCGCATATTTACAATATTTGTCATATATGTAGTACAAGTAAGAAAAGTAATTAAAAACGTTGCAGCCGGGCGCTACCGACTGCATAATAATCATTGACGGTCTAAGCGCTTCCAAAACATTGGACGATTTTGTTTGGGGGTTTGACGCCCTCTAGAGGCTTATATATTTATTAATATTGGTAGAAAGGTACAGGTCTACGCGCTTTTTAATGACATTATTTTTTGTTCTTGTGTCGTAAAAATACAACGGAACCAAAAGCAAATGTTAAGTTTTGTTTTAAACTTGGAAAAACATTTAGTGAGACGAACGAGTTGATGCAAAAAGTGTATGTTGATGATTGGTTACCTCTTTCGAAAGTTTATTAGTGTTTTTTTTTATCGATTTATAAATGGTCGTGAAGATTGGAATAATGATTAATGATGAAAGTCCTGGTCGTCCAAAAGTAATTAATCTTGCTGAATTGGTGAAAAAGTCCCCGAAATCATTGCTGTCGACGGTAATTTCACTGTTAGAATGTTGGATGAAAAATTAAATGCATCTACTGGTACTATTTGGACTATTTTAACTGACGATTCGGGTAAAAATATCGCTCGTGTGTAGCATTGTAAAGACATCATTTCAACAGTTGAAAACATTTCAGATTTTTTTTATTTGATCATAAGTGGTGATGAAGTATGGCGCTTTAAATATGACCTTGAAACTAAGCGTCAATCTGTGTTTTCAGTCCAGAATGAAGACAATGTTGATCACGTTCGTTGACCGTTCGTGTTAGACTTGAATATCCAGAGGGGAAACAGCTGCTTTTATTGCATAAAAAGGCACCACCTCACAAAAGTCAAAAAAGTTCGTGAATTTTTGATGAAAAAACTGATTTCTCTCACCACCTTCCGTATTTTCTTGATCTATCACCATGCGACTATTTTCTTTTTCCTGCTGAATGGAGACTATTTCGAATAAGAAATACCTTTCAAATATAGTACGATACGTGTTTTAAAAATACCCTCATTGTGTTTGGACATACTGTGTACATACATATATTTGTGCGTGTATATTTTTAACTACATGCTTTCTATATATGTTTATATGTATTCAAGGTATTATGTTAAAAACGCCGATTGACTAGAACTTATTAAATTAAAAATGAACTGCACCTAAAAATATCAAACTAAAACAATTGACAAGAACTATTAATTTGTTCTATGCATTTCCCTTCAAAAGGCTGCGCTAAAGTACTGCAATTTTGCAAAATCTTTATAAAAGATGCCACTCACCTGTCTCGTTATCAGAAAAATGAAATCGTCAAATTTGTGCGAACCCGCATACCAATATTTATGTCGCAAGTACTGCAATTGCTGCGAAATGCTCTGGAAATATTTATAGGATTAAGCATTTATGAGAAGGAAGAATTGGTGAATTATCTTGTACCTGAGGTAAGATCCTAAGCTAAAATTCAACATCAGCTTGTCTTATGTTTCCATCTTTATTAGATTGAATCTACTTTATTAATTTTAACCACTGTGATAGAGGAAATCAAAAAGTCTTTGGGAACTATGTGTAAGGTAAGAGAAAAAACTGATCGTTATTTTTAATATATATATATATATATATATATATATATATATATATATATATATATATTTAAATCAATATTGTTATAATTTAACGCAAAACCAAAGCATAAAAGGAGTAGAATATTTTAGTTAGAAAGTCTAAACTAGATTGGCTAGATTGGCGTTATATGTACGTCCACTAATGGCCAAGAGGTTTAATACTAATTTTCGAAATAAATTGGTTTTGTACAATGCCCGTCTATTTAATGTTTGTATTAAGATAAACACTTTTTCTAATATGCCAGAAACGCTATTAGTTTAAGTGCTAAATACTGGAAATTTGGAGTATATACTCATATATACTCATGTAAACAAGTATTTTCAGTCGATAGCGCCAGTATTTATTTATTCTTCATTGGACGATGAGCTAAGTGGATCTAGTCATGCCCTTCTGTCTGACCGTATAAATTCGAAAGCCACAAAATCTATATATTTGCATTTTAAATGTATTGTACATGTATTCTTTATCGTTAATACCCTGATGAACCCATTGAAAATGCGAGATATAATAGACAGATCGAGGCGTAACCGACCCCATAAAGTATTTATATTGTTGATTAAGACGACAAGCCAAGTTGATTTAGCCCTTTTCGTCTATTTGTCTGTCCGTCAGTGTATCGGAGCGCGACGATCGCCTTCTTTAGACTTAATTTTTTTTTTAGGTCCGTTTATAGCTAAAGCTTGAAATTTGGCATATATACTTATGAACACATAGTCCGAGGCATTTTTAACATTAAATTATGAATATAAATATTTATTGCTCGTATAAGTAGTTAAAAAAATATCTACATTATTGGTGAAAGCTGATAAGCTTTTTCGGTAAGTCTAATACAAATTATTTACAAAGGTTGAATTTAAGATTTTTATTTAAATAGTATAATTATGTTATTATTTACTGATTTAATGTTTTAAATGCCGTGACCGTTTGAATTTAATTAGGACAAACATACAAAACCTAAATATAAGTTATGAATAGCGCTGTAGAGTATTACATTAGTTTGCTAGGAGTACTAGTAGTAAATGAACGCGACACATTAAAAGAGAAGTAATGAGTGATTATTAGATGTTGCGCGTTGAAGGACCAAATTTTTTTAAAAGAGCATTAATGGCAAGGACGCACAGATTATTGGCAATTTAACGTGTATCACCAGTAGACGTGCGAAAATCAGAACTATCACAGAACCGTTAGCTCTAGTAATGTTTTACACGACTTGGGGTAACAGATTTTTTAAAGGAGGATCATTTTCATACTTATCGTTTACGACATCGTTTTAATAGAAGGCTGTGGGATGTAATATGTTATCAGCGATTGAGACACTTTTAGGTGAGCACAATAACGTCTGACTCCTTAACTCCTTAGCACTTAAGCGCATCCATAACATTGGTGGCAAATTTCTTAATAAAGTGAACGTAAATGCAAAAGCCATAAGGTTAACGACTAGCAGTGCAGAAGGCATATCGTTCGACTCAAACGTGAAGTTGGAGTATATAAAGTAGTAATGTTGATTGACGCATGTAACCAAAGTTCTTAGAAAACTTTTTTTATTGGTAGATTTTTATTTCATTGCAGTTTGCCTTGCTTGTCTGTTATTCAATTTTAAGGTAATGCGTTGGTGTGTGGGATTGTCGATAAATGAACATTTTCTTCAATTGATGTTGCTGGTCAGAAGGATGTATGTCGATTTTTTCTTCATTTTCGTCACTATAATTTTGATGTTCGTAATTTAGGTCATATTTCATTAATCATTCAGATGTTCTACATGATGATATTCGTCGGTGCTTTGGAACGAGCATCACTTTGTTAGTTTTGTATATTTTTGTTGAAATTTTAATTATTTTTGGAATTTGTAATAGTACAGACGGATGACATTGATCTTTCAACAACGTAATTTTATTCTACTTTTCCTTTAGAGTTATGCTATACATTTACATAAAAAGCCAAGAAAATGGACATAAATGTTGGAATTTGTTTTAATCGCTTTGAATTTTAATCGCAATTGAATTGTTGAAGGTAGTTAATGCTGTTCAATCATGATCGATTATAATTTTTTTTGTAAAAAAAATGTTTTTTTGTGTTGTACAAATTCTGTTATATTTTGAGCTTAAAGAAATTTGGAATATAAATCAGCGTCTATATATATATAAATTATTACAGGGTGCTGGCAATCCACAGGGTCTCTATCTTTTAAAGTCTTAGAGCTAGAATCCCTTAAATTGGATTATTGAGTTATTGCTCTATTCTATATATGCACAAAAAATGGGCCTATTTGGGGGAAAATTTTACCGTTTTGGAAGCTTAGCTCCAAATGTAACTATTACAGTAGACTGTTTCTAAAGATTTATTAAAAATTAAATGTTCACAACCTATTTCTTCTTCTATCTGTTGTGTTATACACTTTTTGAAGACGATATTAACTTGCCGATTCTTATTGATAATAAGGAAAAAGGATAAGTTATCGAAACCAAATTATAATCACGTAATCTACACAAGAAAATTTCCAATAAAAATAAAGTACTTAATTTTTGTCATTAGCCATTAGGAGCTGACATTTTAATATTTATTACACTATGCCTGATAAATTTTAGGTTACAAATTCCTAATCTAACATTAAAAATTAAATTCGCTTTTTCATATTTCATAAAGCTTTTAATGTTATATATGAAAAGGTCGACTATTTTATTTCAAAGTAATTTATCTTTGATATTATTTATTTTTTTATAGCTTCGTTTTTGAATTTCTTACTTTTTTTAAGCTGTTCATTTTAATTGTTAAACTTCTAATGCTCGAATCTTTAGCTCAACGAATTCTTTATCGTCAATTTCTAAGATCCCACATCAATGTATATCAATCTTTCTTAGTTTCGATAGCTGTTCCCGCTTTAATGTTATAGATTAAAAACATGATGGAAATGCTGTTATTAAAATATATCTCGTACTTAACGATTAAAGTTTAAGAGCTAGAGCCTGCAAATTTTGTATTTAGTTTTATGTAAATTCTTTACAAATTTGATTTTTGTTATATTTTGGATACCCGTTCCAATTTTCTCCAAATTCTTTAAATTTAAGTACAGTTGGAAATAAGGCCAATATGTGAGCTTGCATTTTTACTCAGCTGACTATTATTTTAATCGAATACGTAGATCACAAGCTAAAACAGAAGTTATCAAACAAAACGTTTCGACAATTTCCTAATCGAGCACCTTGACTAGAACTTTCTTACTTGTTTTATTCATAAAAAGGAATCCTTTTTCCTGAAGTATTTTAAGCCGGGCCATTCCAGAGCAGATCGTCCATCTGATCTTTTCTTATCTGACGCAGAGCCGTCCACGTGTTGTTGGTTAAACTGGTTCCCGACGGGCGAGATACATCAACATAGTATATTTTATGATTTGCTATTGCAACCTATTTGTACGCCGTTGATCATTGGAGACTTTGTGTTCCTGCCGCTGTAGCTTTTTGGAGAACTTTGCTCGTCACAGTCTATTTATTGGCTACCGATATGCCTCTTTATAGGTTAATGAGCGTCGCAGACTTTTATGGTACTTCAAACATTCCTTTAAATTTCTCCATTTCTTTCTTTGAATATCTTACCACTGGTTCCCCACAGCATGTAATTTGAGGATAGGGAATTATACCCCTAGACTCCTCGCAGTCCAGGAGATAGGCGGCAATCACATGCTCATGCTTGAACACTAACTGTTCAGGTATGAACATACAACATATTCAAGAATTCTACGCATGTCGTCTACGCACTCAACCACTTGCAGGGAGTGCAATAAGAATATATCAAATTACATGCTTAGTATCTAAAATTAGACATACCAGCTTTACACTTTCAGCATAGATAAGTTAGATTTAAAGGATAAAATACACTTGAGTACGGGTATAAGAACTGTAGCTCAAACGAAAAAAGATCATAACATAACTTAACGCCACCACAATGGCGTTCACATTTTGTGTATTCACATTTTGGTCCTTCGAGTACAATCTACAAGGCTACGTTCGTGATAAGTGTAAAAGTGAAGTGAAAAATTGTTTAAATAATTTTCTTTGGCTTACCAATTCGAGCTGTGAGTAGAGGCACAGCACGATCAACCAGGCGATCAAACAAAATTACCTCCAACGGGTCAAACCAAAGACTAATCAAGAACAAATTTTCACACGAAACAACACAAGCAACATGCTGTCGGCAAAAACTCTTGAGTTGCTCAAAAAGCAATCAGAGATCTATGACAAGATCCGGCAGAGCATCACAAACAAGGATGAGTTTACTGCCAATCATCTAACGCTGATCAAAATCGGTGTCGTCGACCATCAATATTTTAAGGAGAAAATATATGATGACATAATGGAAAACATCAGGAACTACGACGAGTCTCTGATGAAAGTCCAAGTTGCCGACCACGCCATAGACACCGACCAAACAGTATCCACCCAACCAGAGACATCCAAGACACAGCACAGGCAGCAGGAAATAATATTTTCCCGAAGAAGCTCGAGCCCAATGGATGTGATGGTAGACCTTGTGTACAAACGAGCTCTAAAAGTAAGGCAACACATGCAAGAAGTGTATGCCAATATGGAGCTCAGTAGCCAGGGATAAATCCTTAACTATAAAGATAGGTAGATTTTCCTGTGGAACAAAGTTCACTCAACGCTCACGGACAACGCTCTCTGACTTTGATGAGATCGACGAGCTGGAATGCAATGTCACCATACTCACAAGAAAACTAAGTGACTAGGAGTAGGTGACTTGCAAAATATAAAAGAAGACGTTACAGAGCTACCGAAAGTGGATCTTCCTCGCTTTAATGAAAGTCCTAAAGAGTGGTCAGCGTTCTTCGAACTATTCTGCGAGGTGACTCACTAGGGGAAAGATATCAGCGCCACAAGGAAGCTGAACTACCTGAAATTATGCCTCAAAGGAGAAAACAAAATGGTCGTAGGCC